ATATGTGTAATCTAAGAAGGAAGACTAGTTTTGTGGCTTTGCCGAGAACTGACATAAAAAATGACCTCAAATTGGAAGTCTGGATAAAATCTTCTCTGGTGTACAGGCCCTACAGGAAGGACTGTGTCCATAACCATCACTGTATATTTGTGTCTCCTCTTATTAAATTTCTTCAATGAAAAATGTCTATAATTTATTGTATTCTTTTTCAACCTTCTCTTAGAAGGAATTCTTCCTGTAATCAAACCTGAACAAGGATTGTGATACTTCCAAACCCAAGTCTCGAGGTATACTGAGGACCAGAAACCCATCACAATGGTCAGGCACTGTGACAAAACCTAAAAACCGTTTCATAATATTCTTTCTTTGTGTTACCCTATATGTCTTTATAATTTTGGACTGTGGATATAGTACATATAAATTGAATACAGAACATTTGAATAGAGCTTTATGGTTTAGAAAGTATTTTGCACATTATTTTAATACTCATATTACCATCCTGGGGAAGATTTTGTAGGGGTCTGTGATGCCTACAGTTTTCTCTGCTCAGTGCTTTTTTCCCATTTCCCTTCTTCTGGCTCCAATAGCTGTCTTCTCGCTTCCTTAAGGAAATCTGTGCCTTCCTCACTTGGTTCCAGTTAATCACAGTCCTGTGCTGCCCTCTTGCTACAGAGCCTGGTCAGTCAAAACAACCACCCTCGCCATCCCATTCACGGTGACCATTCAGAAATTTCATGTGATTCTAGTGGGCCCTGTAAGAGTTTTCCCTGGCACTTTCCTGCAAAAATTTGACGTAGAGAAAAATGTCCCCTGGCTTTTGGGGTCGTGCTACTAGATGGATACAAATTTGGAGCTGTTTTGAAAATCCCAGTTGTCTAGAGTAGCATAGAACAAGGTTAAAATGTTGAGCTGAACATAAATGAAATAAAAAGAGAAGAATTACTAATTGGGTTGAAGCCCTGAATCCAGCCATATTTGAACTGTGTTTCATGAGCAAATACTAAATTTCTGTTTCCTTAAGGTAGTTATGATGGGTGTCTTTGTTCCTTCAGGCCGCTATGGCAAAGTATCGCACACTGGTGACTTACAAACAAATCTATTTGTCACAGGTCTGGAGATGGGAACACTGAGATTAGGGTGCCAGCATGGCTGAACTCTGGTAACAACCATCTTCCAGGAGGCACATGGCTGACTTCTCATTGTACCATCACATTGCAGACCCCAGGGAAAAGAAGCAAACTCTGGTGACTCTTATACGGGCACTAATATCCTACCTGAGGACTCTACCAGAATGACCTTGTCTAATCACAGATTATCTCCCCAAGGTGCCAACTCCTAACACCATCACACTGGGGAGTAAGGTTTCAACACTGGAGCTCTTGGGGAGGAACACAAACATTCTGTGCCTAACAATGGATTTTTTTCACTCGCAACCCCAAAAGTTTTCCCAATTATAGATATTTTTACCTTATTTTGCAGATGAAAAACTGAGGTATTGTGAGGTTAAGTAGCCAATCTCTGTCTGTATATAATGGGGGAGACTTGAATAAATCCAGTTCTCATTTCAACTGATCATCCTGTCAGCCAATTACCATGCTACTCAAAGATGGACATCTTGTGGTGTTTTTGCTTTTGTTTTTTTGAGTTGTTTTTGTTGTTTTGTCTTTTTTTCCCTGTGACTGGGCTTTTTCTTTCCTGAAAGACAGCTTGCTCACACCCTGGCAGTTGGGTGATACCTGTGTGGCTACCTGGCTCCATTGTGACACTCTGTGTTTGTCCTGCTTCCTCCAGACCAGATTCCCACGCTCCAGGCCTTCCTCTCAGAATAGGCCCTCACATCTACCAGGCCTGACTTGTTTGAAATCTGGTTCTGAAGGTGACTGGGATGGATTCCAGATGGCCATTTTATTTTATAGTGGGCAGAGTGTTTCCAAAGACACCCTGTAGTGGACAGGTGAAGGTGGAAGAAAAGATTGTCTCATTTATTTCAACATGTGTTGGAGGCCCTACTGGTCCCTAGACAGTCCCTTGCCATCCTGTGAGCCCAAAAGGCAAAAGAGAGAAAAAAAAAGAGGGGGAGGATGAGGCGGCTTAGAATTGAGAAAAATGCTTTCACATTTTTTTAATAAGAAAAGGAAAAGGTAATGTGATTCTTTAAAGGTTAAGTAAGGTAACATTTCACAATTCAGTTTTGCTGGAGATATTGCTGCTCCATAGTGAATTTTGAGGAAATATTTTAAGCACCAGTAACTTTATAAAAACATATTCTGACCATTATGAGACTGAAATCTTTCTAAGATCTTTGCACACTCTCCTGCTCTGCTTTCAGGCGCAGACCTCTCCTAATGTAAACCATTTCCGTAGAGTTCTAGGGGGTCATTACTGATTGTTCTGATGACCACACAATGGAGTGCTCTGTGCTTTTTAAAAAATAATTTAATCCTAATTTTTATACATTAATTTTTCTGTATTAAATGCTAATTTTCTCTACCACCTACTTCTGCTTATGGCCGTTAGCATGTTGTTTGCTCATTCTTTAAATCTACTGTCATATTTTATACCTATTCTGCATGAGACCTGCCTCCAGCCTTCTTTTGTGGAGTAGAGGATGAAGGGTTTGTGGCAGCTTTTTCTCTCTAACCACATACATATCTCTTCCATTTACCTCTGTTGTCTCAAGGCGGGCTTGAGACACCACAGGGAGAGAGAGAAAGCAGGGCTTGGCCAAAGACCTACTCACTCACTGGCATCTTGCTGACCACTCAAGGCTTCCAGCACTCTGCCCTACCTCATTTAAACCTCACAACAAGGCAGAGAGCAACATTCGCCAGGCCCTGTGCTGGATGCTTTACACATATCATCTCAGTTAGTGTTCAGAGCATCCCTGTGCCCCTCACAAGAGGAAGATCAGTGTTTAATTTGAAAATAAAACAAAGCATAGTGCCCTGGACCTTGGGGTAGACTTCGCAACATGATGGAATTACAAATTCTATCTTAAAAGGTTCTCTTTAACCAAGTTCAGTTTCCCATAGCCAGTGGCAGAACTGAGATTCAATTCTGATTATTCAGAGGTCATGCTCTTAACTTCCATCCACAGGGTCTTCCTTCCTTATCTACACCTTGTACTTTCTTCCTCTGCTTAGTACAGCAGGTAGCCTCGAGGACTTCATCTGCCTACTCCTCCTGGCTCTTCTTCCCTGGGGTGAGATTCTGCTTTCTGTATATTCCACTTACCTACAGAAGAATCTCCCTTGGTCCCCAAGAATCCCTGCCTGACTCCCAAATTGGGCCCTATATGTGCACCTGCTATATCTTTTTGACATATTGCCTAAAATAGTTTAGTTGTCCAGGTTTTCCAAATTTACATTTATGTAAGTGAGTCTGTATTTTATCCAACTCATCAGCACTGCATATGTTTGAAAATGGGCTGCACTATAGATCTGGCCCACCAAAAATGCATGGATGGATTTGCAGACCCCTTGCCATAACTTGATGGCCCCCTGGGTATGGACCTACAGGTTGTGATCACTGCTTTGGAACAGCATAATTTAATGGCAGAGAGCCAGGCTCAGCAGTCAAACAGACTTGGGTTCAAACCATGACTCTGCAAGTCCCTAAATTCCATAATCTTGACCATGAATCTCAACTATCACCCCACAAAACTAGCTTTTTCTAAGAAGGCTTGCTGTCACATTTAGATGACATCAGACATTTAAAGTGGGTAGTACCCATTATCACAGCAGCAGTCTATTCCTGTATGGGAGTCCATGGTTTGGAGGTTAAAAGGAGGTAACACAGAGAACTAGACACCAACTCTAACCACAGTGCACTGGATCTTCGGCCGAGTTGGCACATGATCTAGAATTACAGATTGTGTTTCATAATAAAATCAAAATAAAGACTTATATTGTCTAGTTGGTGAAGGGAATTGCATTCAAGTTGTAAGATGATAGCCCACACCTCAAAGAGTCCTTCCATAGGTATTATTCCCCTCCCTCTTCCCTGTCACGGGGTATTGCTCAGAATCCAGACCTGGACTTTCAGATCTTGCTCATCTCCAGGTAGTATCACTGTAGCCTTAGGACAGTACTCCTGCCCTGGGTACTGCCAAGCCCTGCGCCTTCCCACAGACCTTCTCCTTTGACTCCCTCCCAGTTCTCCTGAGGGCTTAGGCCTATCACATAATCCAGGAAGCCCTTGCAGACTACTTCCGTCTGGGACTCTGTGCAGACCTGTACCAGGAATGGGGAGAAGAGGATGTGCTCTGTGTTTGATGCGGAAGGGAACGTGGAAATGGCAGAGAGAGAAATTCCCCTTTGCATGCAGAAATGTTACTTAGCCTTTCTATTGGCCTAACATGCACGGCCATAGTAGAAGGTGGTATGGAGGGTCCGGGGGCCCCACAGGTTTTGCTCTTCTTCATAGAGAAGTCCCTGAGACTCTGCCATAGGAACTCTAGGGATCCACCAGGCCAACTGAAAACCACAGATATAGAGGGAAAAGGGCTCAAAGAAACAGAACATTTGTTTTGAATCCTTAGAGGGTGGCCCAATATAATAGCAACTGAATTAAGCATACTTTCTACACCACATCCCATGTAATCTTTCTATGATCCTAATAAAGCAGGCTCTGCTCTTCCATTCTATCACTGAGAAACACGCTCAAAGAGACCAAGTAACTAGCTCATGGTTGGTTACCTGGCAAGCAAATAAGTAGAGGAGCAAGGATTTGAGCTCAGGTCTGTCAGGCTCTGTGCTCTGGCCATCGCATCTCTTGCTATAAAGAGATCCCAAATGTTTAAGTCTAAAGAGTAGATGCAGTATAATGGTTAGACGTGATAAAAGATTTTTTAGGGAAATAAACTTTTAAGGAAGTTTTTTTTTGCCTAGGTGACATTATGAATTAATTATTGGTCCTAACTAAGGTGGTGGGATATGGCTACGGAATTGTGGAGGTAATTCCCACAGAGCCCAGTCAATTTTAATCTGTTTGGATTACAGACTGTCTGACCTACAAATGAGTGCCAGCATTTAAAAGGAGAATGAAAAGCAGAACATTGCAGTGTCTATGCAAATCCATTAGCACTGCTGGGAACTGGCTGTGTCCTGTAGTCGGTGAGTCACAAGTGTCATTTGTGTGTGTTTCACATTCATTCATGCTTCACACATAAAGCAGATAAGTTTCCCATCCATTTGAAGTATTGGGGTGGGAACTATTTGATTAGAATTTCTGTTCTGCCTTAAGCTCTGAGTGTGGCCACCAGCTCCACCCGTGAGTGTCCCCCTCCCTGGTTCCTGCTCTGAATTTTCTACTTTCTGGTTTCCAGTGTCCTAGGTTTCTCCAACCTGTACTGGTTTCTTTTGATGCTGTAAAAAATTACCATAAATGTAGTGGCTTATTATCTTGTAATTCTAGAGTTCAGAAATTCAAAATGAGTTTTATGGGGATAAAATCAAACTAATGGCAGAGCTGGGTCCTTCTGGGTGCTCTCAGGGAGACTGTGTCCTTGCCTTTCTCAGCTCCTGGAAGCTGCCTTTGATGCTTGGTTCCTTGCCCTTTCTTCCTTGGCTTCAGTACTTGGCCCTCTCTCTCTCCCCTTCCTGCCTCCTTTTTCTTTCTTTTTTTTAAAGGAGACTTACGATTACATTGGACCCACCTAGGTAATCTCCCTGTCTCAAGGTCTTTAACTGCCAAGCCCCTTTTACCATGTAAGGTAACATTCATAGGCTGTGGGGATTAGGATGTATCTTCGTAGCTTTGGGACACATTGTTCAGGTTACTATACCTCCCTCTTTGAAGAGCTTCTCAAAGAAAAGAAAGGTTCTGAGGTGTCATGAACATAACATGAAACTTTGAGCAAAGAGATTTGACTCCAGTCTTGAATTTGACATTGTGTTCATTGTCAGACCACGAATTAAGCACTTTACTTCTCAGATAGACTTGTATTAATAGGGCTTTGAATTAATTCACTAATATTCCTCCAAGCTATAAAATTGCATAACTTGACAAATTATTTATATTAAAATATAAATGACTTGAAGCAATTTTACTGTGGATTAGTCTTTTCTCCAAAGGATTGACTTCATTCTAAAATTAATAGTCCATCAAATTTGATAAGCAATGAAACATATGCAGACCTACTGGAATTATACCACATAGGCAACAAAGTTCTTTCTTTAATATTAAGGTCTGTTCAACTTGAGGCCAGTCACATATGTGAATATAGAGGCCACAGTTTTTCAAACTATGGTCCCTGAATCTCTGAAGTTGAATCATCTGGGACACTAGTTTATTAAAAATGGATATTTCTGGGCCCCGATTCAGTATGTTATAAGGGCTGATGGTGTATAATAAGTTGTTCAAAGTGAATCATATGAACAAAAAGTTTGAGAATCACTAAGAAATAAATATATTTTTAGTTACAACTTATAGCGTGATAAAGATAATAAATTGTTAGACTAAAAAACATTATTTCACTCTCTTTACCACCTCTGTATTTATTTTGAAGATAAGGAAACTGAGGCTTAGAGGGATGACATTTCTTGCCCAAGGTCAACAATGACTTAAGGCAGAGTTAAGACTGCACACTGAGTCTTCTGACTTCACATTTGAGGCTCACTAACAGTTGAGCTATTTAAGTTTTTCTTTGGGAAAAATAATTTTTGACCAGATTATAGTATTTTTCTGCCACCATAGTAGCCCCTACTTTTCAAATGACACTTAGTTCAAAAGGACTGTCTACAGAATGACTGACCATACATACCATCCTTTTTCAATTCTATCATTGTTGTTAGGTCCACAAAAGAAGTTTATTTTGAATAGCATATTTAAGGAAAATTTTACTAATAAAACATTAAAGCCAGTATTCAAAAAAATCATTAAATATATGTATGCTTTAAAATGTAAAATATTATTCTTGAAATATGCTCCATTGTATTAACTGCATAGGAATATGAGATGCCCTATGTATTACTTCACAAATTACAATCTGTTATTTTCTTTATTCCTGATTTAAGCCTCACTATTAATCACAATATTATGGACCATAAATAAATTATCTATTAAGCAGTGGATGAAAACAGGGTAGAAAAAAAATGGAACATCACAGAATATAATTTTAATGTAAATTTGTCTTTTGAACCATATGAATATTTTACATATTCCAAAAGGAAAATTGAATTAAAGAGGATGGCAAAAACCACTAAAGTTAAATGATGGTTAGATGTTAGCAAACTGGATTCAGCAATACATTAAAAAAATACTCTATACTGTGCTTAGGTGGGATTTATTCTGGGTATACAGGGATGGTACAATATCCATAAATCAACAAATATCATGTACCAATATACAAAAAAAAAAAAAGTAAAAACCACATGATCCTATCAGTAGATGCAGAAAAAGCATTTGATAAAATTCATCACCCATTTATGACAAAACTCTCAGCAAAGTGGGAATAGAAGGAACATACTTCAACATAATAAAGGCCATATATGATAGACTTATGGCCAACATCATACTTAATGGGTACAAACTGCAAGCATTTCCCTTAACATCAGGAGCAAGACAAGTATGTCCACTTTCATCTCTCTTATTCAACATAGTACTGGAAGTCCTAGCTATAGCAATCAGACAAGAAGAAGAAATAAAAGTATCCAAATTAGAAAGGAAGAAGTAAAACTGTCATTATTTGCAGATGACTTGATACTGTATGTAGAAAGGCCTAAAGATTCTACTAAAAAACTACTAGAACTGATACATGAATTCAATAAAGTAGCAGGATACAAAATAGATATCCAAAATCAGTTGCACTTTTACACAAATAAGAAATGATCACAAAGGGAAAGTAAGAAAACAATCCCATTCATAATTGCTTCAAGAAAGATAAAATACTTAGGAATAAATTTAAACAAGGATGTAAAAGCCCTGTACTTGGAAAATTATAAGACAATAAAGAAATAAATTGAAGAATATACAAAAATAAAAGTATACACTGTATTCATGAGTAGGAGGAATTAACATTATTAAAAAGTCCATGCACTCAAAGCCATCTATAGAGTCAATGCAATTTCTATCCAGATACTAATGGTGCTTTTCACAGAACTAGAAGAAGTATTCTAAAAATGTATATGGAACTGAAAGAGACCCGGAATAGCCTCAGCAATCTTGTAATCACACTACCTGATATCAAACTATACTACAAGGCCATGGTAATCAAAACAGCATGGTTCTGGTGTAAAAATAGACACATAGATCAATGAAACACAATAAATAGCCCAGAAATAATCCTGCACATTTATAGTCAGTAATTTTGATGAAGGAGGCAAAAACATATGATGGGATAAAGATGGTCTATTCAATCAATGGCGTTGGGAATATTGGACAGATACATGCAAAAAAACCCCAAAACAAAACAAACAAACTAGACCACTTTCTTACACCATGCACAAGAATAAACTCAAAATGGATTAAATATTTAAATGTTAGACTTCAAATCATAAAAATCCCAGAAGAAAACATAGTCAGGAAAATCTCATACATTTCTCATAGCAACATTTTTTTCTGATATATCTCCTCAGGTAAGGGAAACAAAAGAAAAAAATAAATTGGACTAAATCAAACTAAAATTTTTTGCACAACAAAGGAAATCATCAGCAAAATGAAAAGAGAACCCACTGAGTGGGAGAACATATTCACTGATTCACCTGATAATGGGTTAATACCCTAAATTTATAAAGAATTTAAAAACTCAACACCAAGAAACATATCATTCAATTTAAAAAATGGACAAAGGACTTGAATAGATGTTTCTCCAAAGGGGACATACAGATGTCCAATAGACATATGGAAAGATGCTTAATGTCACTAATCATCAGAGAAATGCAAATTACAAGCACAATGAGATATCACCTCACACCTGTCAGAATGGCCATCATCAATAAATCAACAAACAAGTGCTGGCAAGGATGTGGAGAAAAGGGAATGGTTGTGCACCACTAGTGGGAATGCAGATTGGTGCAACCACAGAGTTACCTCAAAAAATAAAAAATACAGGTGCCTTATGACCCAGTGATTCCACTTCTGGGAATTTATTTGAAGAAATCTGAAACAGCAATTTTAAAGAATAAAAGCACCCCCATGTTCATTGCAGCATTATTACAATAGCCAAGATTTGGAAGTAGCCCAAGTGTTCATCAGTAGATGAGTGGATAAAACGACTATGGGACATTTACACAGAGGAATACTACTTTACCATTAAAAAGAAGAAAATTTTACCCTTTGGTATAGCATGGATGGACCTAGAGAAGATTATGCCAAGTGAAATAAGCCAGTCAGAGAAAGACAAATGCCATATGATTTCATTCATACATGGAATTTAATGAACAAAATGAACTAACAGCAAAATATCCACAGACTCAGATTGCTGGCTGATGGTTCTCAGTGAGGGAGGTGGTAGGATTGAGCAAAAAAAGGAAAAAAGAAAAAACTCTGGGATAGGGACAATAGTGGTGATTGCCAGCCCGGTGGAGGGGGTGGGTAGGAGTGGTGGTGGAAGGAAGAGGAATAGGGTATAGGAGGGTAAATGGTGATGGAAGGAGACTTGACTTGGGGTAGTGCACACACTACACAGTGTACAGATGAGGTGTTGTAGAACTGTGCACCTGAAACCTATATAATTTTGTTAACCAGTATCATACCAATGAATTCAGTAAAGTGGAAAAAATAAATAAATGCATATCAAATTTAGAACAACAAATAAAGGAAAACAGTGCAAGTAACTTTTATATGGGACTCGCTGACTTTATCCCTTTGGTGAGATATATTCTAAGAGCAATTAGAAATTATTTCCAATGATATGTTAATTTTGTAGGTTTGTTAGAAGTGGTATGGGTGTGGTATTGTTGAATTTTGTGTATCACAAGATTACTCAAATAAATACAATATTTTTGGAAACCAGTATTCTCACTGTGGAGGAGGAAAAATAAAATATGGTTGAGCAATGAGACAGGGAAGTCTGTCCTTGGATGCATCAGTATGTCTGCATATTGCATGTGTGTACATATATGTGTTGTGTGCTCCTAAAGGGCCTAGAGGCAATGAGCCACGGTGGCATTGA